TGGATCGCCTTCGGGTTGTTGAGCCTAATAAATCCACCACTCGAGGGCACCAGCGCAACAGGGATGCTTCCAACACCACTGCGGAAAAAATATTCCAATGGCAATTCATCATTAGGCAAGGAGGCTGACCAAGGGCTATGCCCTTGGCCAGGAGATGAATTAGACATTAGCAGTAATTCGATTGCTTAAAGAAGTAATATGCCACGTCAGCTAGTTTCAACAGGTCAAATTCACCCAAAAACTCAGCCAAACCACCGTCCGAAAGAGTCCGAAGGGACGAGCCCGGATCAGAACGAAGCCCGGTTCAGCGGAAGATCAGCGGTGATGGCGTCCGAACAGCAGAACCGATGCGATTACGATTACTGTATCTTTACTGTCGATTACTGTCCCATTACTTGCATGCACACAGGTGAACAAAAAGGAAAATACCGTGAAAAATCGCGTCACCTCGTGAGCCAGGTCAGCACAAATACATGCCATGGCGTTCGATTGAGAAAAAAAAAACAACGAAAGAACCCAATGCGATGCTTGTTTCGCCTCCAAACAAGCAACCATGGAGAAACGCACCGCAAAACTAAAACCAGCGGGCAACGAACGCTTTACAGTAGCCACACTGTGCATCGCTGTGGTGGCAGGCTCAGGCACCACGTGCCGCTCGTTAGCCATAAAGTGGCAAGAATATGCTTGTGGTCCTTCGTTTTTATAGTTATTTTAAAACGTATGGTCTTTTTTTGGTGTAATGCATGCCTTACGCGAACAACTTCATTATTACCCTCGTTAGCAGGCGAGCAGTGAGTTTCTGCTTTGAAGCTCGTTCTTGACTTGACCAAGCAAGACAGCCTGAGCATCTATAAAACGCGAAGGCTGACTTGGGCGTTTTGAAGTCCGCTGCTTGCTTCGCGCCGACTTGCTCAAGTTAAGTTGAAGTCGCGAGCCAAGTAACATCTCTGCATTCGGGAGTTAGTCTCAAAATTTTTCACCCTAGCTGACGCTTTGTAACATTTTGGTCTGTAGAAACCGGCCGTAAATAAATAAATGTAAGATTGTTGGAATATGCAACCTCATGCTGACGATTGGGCAGTGGGTATTCGGCGCGAAGATCAGAAATTTGCTCTTGAACCTTTTTTTATTTCATTAATCAACTTGTGATTTCAAATACAGATAAAAGGCTCCATTGAGATAATTTGCCCACTCTTGAAAGATTGTGACAAAACATCAGAAGCTGCCCCACTCAGCAAATAGCTCTAGCTTTTTGTGCCGTATCACAGAGACTCGATTTCAAAGCTTTATTGAGAAAAATGCAAGGTAGTGAAAAGAATGAGCCACTGTCCCCATGGTAAGGCCCTTGTCGACCTCTTCCTTTATTCGAATATGCTGAATCGATCTTAACGTTGATTGTGCTACTCCTAGTCTTTAACGCAGTTGTCAACAAAAAATGCTGCAGTTGAGGGAGCATTAACTTTGTTAGTTAAAATGAGGTTCGAAGTTTAGATCACGACAGTATCCCGTGGTGCACTCGAAAAAAAATGTGAGACGCAGACTATTTCAAACAAAATGTTTATGATATTTCATCTCCTAAACAAAATGAACAGTTTCTGGTTATGTATTTATTGTCAATAAGGCTTCTACTCTGGACGCGAAAACATTATAAACACTTTGTTTCAACTGGTCAGCGCATCCTTTTCGTTCTGTAGTTCAAATAAATTTTGAGCTAATAATTGCACCAGGTGAAAGGTGAAGTAATCTACTAGAGACAGTCACGACTTCAGTAATAAAGACTGCTTTATTTTGCACAATAAACACAGTTCACACAATTGAACTAAACCGTTTAAAACACCCATCCTCAAAGGATTCTTACACAATAGAATGGAGTGCACGTATACATGCTGGGTGTCTTGCTTGTGCAATTTGGAGAACTTGCAGCATGGGAACCTGCACAAATAAAGGCTATCTTTTCACACATTAAAATGTAGGTAAAAACTTTATTGCGTTCATTCTCATATGAATCGCAAGAACTGTTCATTAGTTTAATATAGGGCTGGAAGGTAGCAAGGTCTGTGCAGGTTTCAGTAGCCCAAATACAAGAGACATTCAAGGCGCTACTGAAGGTTTTCTAAGGATATAAAGCACTGTCCCAAGTAAAACCTTTTTTGCAATAACCACGCTTCCAAACCAACATGGTTTGGAAACATGATTATTTACAAATTAAGAATAAAAAATTAGTATTTGGCTCACACACAGCACTTTATTAAAGCTTTGGCTGCATAGACACGGTGGATACTGTTTGAGCTAGAAGATGTGTGATTTCACCTCGTGAGCTACTTTCATGACAGAGTTTGATATGGAAGAGTAAAAAATAACAGAACTGGTTGAGGTGAAGTCAAATCACCCAGAGAAAAGTTTTAAGTGAACAAGGTGAAGAGATGAAGCTAATAGCAAGAGACAAACAAGGTTAAACACTGAGTGGGAGCCATCACAGGAGCAAGGCCTGTGCTCTCAAAGTAACCTGACAAACGTTTACATATACACAACAGCTGCTCTAGACCGTATCAGAAATTATATGCCATGAATTGAAGATTTTTCTGGGAACAAAACCAACTGTAGGAAGTTAAAAGGCCATGCAAAACTACTGTGCAATTTCAACTGTTTTCAAAGACTCCAGGCATTTGTACATACCCTGAAGTAACCACAAGCAGGTTTCAGTCATTGATATATGAGATGGTTAAAAGACAGCCGCATAAATGCATTTTGTATCAATCTACGTAATGGTGTTCATGCAATCTGCAAGGAGACTTAATGTGGTAAAGGTTAATGGTGCTCTTACGCTGCATATAAGTCAATAGGAGGGCTAGCGCACCGTACAAGCCAAAGTTAAACCAAAGGCCTATGCAGAATAAGAATAGGAAGTTTTTGTGAGGTTTTCCCAGGTATAAATGAGTAAAAAGCTGTGATTTCCTTTTTAGTTTACAGAGATCGGTTTTTATTCACTCTAATGATATAGCCCTATAGCATTAATTGATGAGGCTAGACACTACACATACATTGCTCATACATGCAATGAACTCAGCGGTCAGTAGTGTTCTTACATACCAGATGACACTACGAAAAAGGGTGGATGACGTGGGTCACGCACGAATTTTCTGAGCAGGAACACTGGCCACCTCAGCAGATTTCCTAGTCTCTACACTTTAAAAAAAAATCGCAACCCAACATTTGCGAAGGATCTGCATGCCCATCAGTGTTTTACCCTACAAGTTTACACCTCTCTTCACAAACACGTAACAGAAGAGGAAGTCATAAACAGTAGTAAAATTCAAACTGGAGTTTATCCCATTGAAAAAATTACGTGCTATCTGAATTCCTGCTCCTACTGCAGAGGAAGTCTTACACTCTATTACATTAGCTGGGGCTGCCCAAAACATCCCCCACACTTGACACACACAGAAATCATCCTGACACACACACGTTGGAGCAGAGGGAGGCGCAAGTGTTGAACGGACGGCTAAGGCCAGTGGGGCCCTTGACTCCTCCCGCCATAAGTCACTCATACTGCAAACAAGCTTATCTGTTCTGTACAGTTTTCTCACACATAATTGGTAAAGCCACTTCTCGTCAGGTGGTCTACTCATATTTAGACATGGTACTTCTATCTAGTTCCAGGTTGAAGCTTGTGACCATGAGAAGTTAATGAGAAGCCATGTCCACGAAGCAGAGGAAATGGCGAGCGCGCTAGCCTTGCAAAGCTGTCAAGCCTACTCCATAATATACACAGACTCTAAGACGGCGGCATGAACGTTCGCGGCTGGCCTAGTAGCTAGAAGCACTGGAAAACTCACCGTCAACGTAATAAGAGAGTACGAGAGCAAAGAAACCCTTGTTAAGGAAAAGAAAGCTCAAATCTACGTATCCTGGTTCCCAGCCAACATGGGACAGTTACCGTAACTCGACCACTGCAATCCCAACGAAGAGGCCAACCGCCTGGCGCGTGAGCTCACACGCCACGCCGCGGACAACGACCCCTCGATGAGTGAGCGGTACGAGAATCTCTGCAGCCAGGACAAAGCACTCACATACCACTAGATCACTTCACATTACCGGGGACAAAGACAAGCCTTCCCAGCACCGCACCCAAAACTTAACAAAGCACAAGCTCTAACTCTCAGAAGATTGCAAACACGTACGTACATAACACCATCCACCTTACGCAGAGTCGACCCCGACACACCACCCGCATGCTCCCTTTGCAACCATCCCTATTGCAATTTCGAACACATGCTCTGGCTGTGCCCTACCCATAGCGCAGCACAAGTGAATACCCAGGAGTTTTGGCAGGAAGCCCTCAAGAGAAATCAATACAAGCTGCAACTACAGGCGGTCCAGAGAGCCCGCGACATCGCTACAAGCCTTCGGCTGCCAGCGTCATCCAGGGTGGAGCCTCCAGGTTGAATTAAGGGTCGAATGGCCCTTCCTCAGCCTCCTCAGGATATGTTTAAATAAAGTCAATCTCTCTCTTTCTCGACTAAGTCTCCCCCCTGCCTAAGCCACTCATACTGCAATCAAGTTTATCTATTCTGTAAAGTTTTCTCACACATAATTGACCAAGCTACTTCTCGTCAAGTGGTCAACCTATATTTAGACGTGGTACGTCTATCTAGTTCCAGGTTATTAGATTGACTTTTTCTGTCACTTTGACGTCTGAGCACTCTTACAGTGGGCTATATGAAAAGTGCATTCAATGTGAATAAAGTATTTTCTTTTTGACACCCTTTGGCAGTTCAGGTGCCTCCATCTCTCTTATGTCAGACAAGCCTTCTTGGATGCCTTCATCTAGTCGGCCCTAAGACCGTACACCAACTTGGAAGCATATACTGGCTTGATAGAATATTTGAAACAAGAAAAAAATGAAAAATTGTAAAAATTGACGTATTGTTGGTCACAGTTCCCTTTACACCACATGGCAGAATGCTGATTTTGCAGTAAATGAATAGAGAGACCGGTGCATTGTTGAAATTTGCTATACTTTTTTATTGCCTCATCCAAACTTTTTTATTGCTTTATCCATACTTTTTAATGCCTCATTCATGAATCTTGTTTGCACTACAGAAAAAATTGCAGCATGAAGGGCCAAGGTCATGCCTATCATCTTCCGAGAGGATGCTGTGGTGTACTGAAAAAAATAAAAAAGAGGGGGGGGATTTTGAGAACATGGTACAATTGTAACATTCAATAAAACTGCAAGATGCAAAAACAAAACTCAGGATAAAGCTCTATTAAGGCACCTTTATTCTAAGATAAAGTAGGCATAATAACAACACATACAGCTTTCTTAAGCTGTGAAAATTTGTCCAGAGTAGTTTCTACTCACTCCTTCCTCTCACATTGCATAGCAACAACCTCGCCACACAGGGGCCCACAGACTATATCACGTATGTTCTTTCATGGTATTACTGTGAATGTCCTTTAGTCATCAACTACACCACTCATGTGAAAAAGTGATAATCAGCACACCCTTTTTATAAACAAGAAAAAATCTGACCAGTAAATGCAGACCAATCATTAAAAAGTAAAAGGTGCTGATAAAACTTTTCCTTGTTACGTTCAGCTAACATGACCGCGGAAGCTCTTTGCAGATGCCGATCACAGAAGGGCGTATGAGAGTTAAAGGTGTTTGTTTTACAGAACATGCACTCAAAGAGATGATTATGCACCTTCATAATATAAATGGGGAGACTCAAAGACATTGGTGATGGTTTTGGTCTTCGAATGTACTCGGGAAATAATAAGAGTTTTGGTGCACTACAGTGTAGAAACACACAATGAAACGAACATAATTGGCGACAATGAGTGCTGAATTTTCTACAATGCTTATTGGGAAATAGCACGTATATTGATACCGTTCTGAGAAGACTGAGGACCAAGTTTACCCCACACAAGTAAGAGTCAATGTAATGCGCACATCATCGGTGAAGTAACTTTGTCAGCCGTCGTAACCTGTGCTCCTTCCCTTGGACCGAAGTTTGCTGCGGCACTCAGGGAGTTAAGGCCAGCACAGTGTTCTTTTCTAAGTAAGATTTCGCATAAAACCTCTGCCGATGACAGTGCACGTTGTCTATCAGAAGGTGTAAACATTCTTAACAGCTGCAAGAACTTTAAACCCACCCAACCATTCGATGAGCGGCTTCTCTTCTACGTGACCACTCTATCCACGTTCTCTTGGCCAATAAGGAAGGTGGTTTACGGTTTTACTGAGCAAAAATAATTGAATCAAAGTCAAGAGAAGCGATTTCTGCAGTCTATTCTCACTCCAATGTTTCATTGAGTAAACAGTAGTCTAACGCAAAAGGACTTTGTGACAAGCTTAGCCTTACAAATTTGGTTAAGGCAATCGATAACAGTAAAAACAATATTTTAAATTTTTTTCTTATTGCAAAAGTGCACAAGGTAAACGTTCCTTTTTGGACCATTGTCAATGAATCTGAATCAGCGTAATCTCAAGCTTTCAGTAATAAGTGACCTTTTTATCGTGACTAAATCTAACCAGGTTTTGGACGTCTTTAACACTTTCACTAACAAGTGCTTTCAGGCTTTATCGATAGGCATCAAAGATCTTTTTTATACCCTGCCTCATAACGTAATCCTTGAGTGTGTTGAGCATTCTACTGAGAAACACGGTTTCATTGCTTTCCAAAACTCTGCAGGGATTTCTGCTAGCGGTTTCTTAGAAATTCCAAGCTTTTATTAGCAATCTATGTATGAAATGTTTGAAGGGATCCCACACCGACAGAAGCAAGGCGTATGCACTAGTTCCTGCATTGCTCGGTTCTTAGAGACCCAATTCTTGCTCAATTCAATTATGAACTCAATGGCTCAATCATTGATAATATGTTTTCTAAAGTGATGAGCCCATTTAGCCTAACCCATGAACTCCTAGTAAATGGCCAAATTAGATGTTTAGATATCCGGTTTCGTTTTGTAGGTGTTAGCATCTGCTGGTGCTATGAACCATGCACTAAAATACCACTACTGCCTTTGAAGTCCGCCTTATTAAACGAGCTATTGCCACATCGTGCCTCAGACACTCTGGGCAAACCTTGACGCTGTGGGCAAACCTTGCCCACAGCGAAAAGCTGAAAGGCTGACTGGTGCTGGCCATCACAAGCTACACCTCATTTAAGTTGCAGACAGCCTGCTTAAGAAGGTACGCCACCACCTGCAAAGTTGAGAAGCCATTGCACCACCTAGGCAGAAGGTACAGATGTTAGCAAAGCAAGTTGTCCAAACAAGCTTGCATATGTTGGGCTGTAGCAAGAATAGAGGGAACATTTATATAGCTGAAGCATTCTTCAAAGCAAAGGGCTTTTAGGGCTTCATCGACTACCCGCTTATTGGGGCCTAGTCCAAGGCAACCACTAGGCTCTTCAAGGCCTTTTCAGAAAGTGGCGATTCTAATGACCGATTTGGTATTGTGATGGTCTATATTTACTTCACTTCACTGGGACATAAAGTACACTCGTACATAGTATGTGTAAGTGTTCGCACCACGACGCTCCAGGGGCAAATTTGGGTCAATGCGTGATCCCAATCTCTGGGCTTTGAGGATGTCAGCTCGACTGAATAGTAGCTTACAGATTCATCCCATGGCGCTTGTGTCGCCCAGTATGTATTCGCATGAGGGGTAGCCTCCATGTCGATTTCCTGGTACAGCAGTGTGTAGAGAGCACCAAAAGATGACGTGTTCTTCCGTAATATGACAGTTTTTCGATTTTGGTGGCAAGTCAATGACAAATGCATCCACATAATTAAAAAAAATTTAAGTCGTTCCATTAACGTAAAAGAAAATACGCACTGTTTTTAACTTGGAATGCTCACTTCTATGCCTCCAAGAAAAGCAAACAATGCAATGCATTAACAAGTTTGGTTTCACTGCTATGCACGTGCACTGCGAAGAAGCACGAGGTAAAGTTAATTAAAAAATGATCGAACTGGCATTCACATGTTCGGCTTCACAGCTGTGCACGTGCACTGCTAAGAAGCACACAGTAAACACGAATACAAATTTACTAAACTGAAATTCACAATTTCAGCCCCACTGCCTTTGTACGTGCGCTATGGAGAACAAAGGTGTTTGTTCTTTTAACGCGCTTGAAGCAATGATTTCAGTTTTCTATGGAACTAAGCGCAGTACAGTTCAACAAAACCATGCGTATGTATATTTCAACCTAATCATTTGGGGTTATTACAATTACACCAGCGTTATTCTCCAAAGCTAAATGACCGACACGAAACACAGTTTAATTTCGCCATTATCGCATATCAGCGTGATTAAAGGATGACTCGGAGCAAGTTAAACAATTTTTCAGGATGCTACAACAGGTGCCAAAGAATTCAGCAATTTAATGCTTATCTACATTGGAAGCCTCTGAGAAAGCGTTCTCAAATCCCAGCAGCATAGCTCTTTTTGTCACGCTGTATGATATGAAAGGTATTTCTGGCCATTACATGTTGGGTAGCGATCAACCGCGTAGAGGACAACTAAACAATTGACTGCTTACCTTTTGTGGCAAGGCAGCGCACTGCAGCTCGCTACGTCTGTCGATCGAGCAAGTAGTACAGTCACCCCGGTGTTGACGGAATGGCTACGGGGCAGTGATTTGCGTGCTACGTCGTCCACTAGAGAGCTGTACGATTCGCGGAGACAAAGCATGGTGTAAGAAAAATTTCGCTCGATCAAGGCCAGAGAACGGCTGGACGCGAGCTTGAGACAGCAACACGCCAGCGCCTACGAATCTAGGGACAAATGCACGAAATATAGTCTTTCTTGGTTGTACCTAAGCAACACGACGCAAACGTCCACAGATTTCTTGCGCATGCGCAAGACGAGGGCTACTCTTTAGTGGGCAACATTGTGCATCAATTTTTTCCTGGCAACATTATGGGCATTGCCTAGGTTTGATGCTCTCGTGAGTCGTGCCTGACCTAGGCAAACAACGAAAATTCCGACGAGCATCGTGCGTCCCCCTTGTGGCTGCTGTTAGAGGTTAACGAAGACTTTTAAACACAAAGTTGTATTTAATGGCATCATCTTATATAACAGTCACAATAAAATGCATAATTATTTTGAATAGCACTAATATAGACTAAACAGCACTTGCTTTTGAAAGCGATTTTTCGAAACCAAAACCACAGTTGGAAATGTGGTTTCGGTTTTGCTTTAGGAGCATAGGGTATAGAAAACTTGCTGTAATTCGCAACTAATGACGCTAGAAGGATACGTTTTGTTGCAACATATATGTGAATGTTTGGGCGTGCAAAAAAAACAAAACCCTAAAAATTTATTTCGCGAAAAAAAAAGACTTTTGAAGGTGGCCTACCATTTTAAATTGCTAACCTCTAGAGGTATTTTTAAAAGTTAACGTTGCTGCAATACAGTAGTGTCATGGGGGTGAAGTGCATGCAGTGCATTGCGGTAAAACATACATGCACGCGCGCATTTGTGTGTGTGTGTGTGTGTGTGTGTGTGTGTGTGTGTGTGTGTGTGTGTGTGTGTGTGTGTGTGTGTGTGTGTGTGTGTGTGTGTGTGTGTGTGTGTGTGTGTAAAATGGAAGCGTAGCACTGCTATTAGGCTTAATGTAACGCGCCGTGCTTTGTCTCATTACTGGTCATGCGGAAGACAGCATCGGCACCAACTTCAGCCTTTGTAAAGAGCCCATATGTTCCCCCATAAATATCTTTAATTGTGGCGAGTGATTCACATTGCAGTAAGCTTATAGTATATCGCATGAATAACCTAAAATTGTTGCATGACCCCCAATAAAGAAGTGAAAAATACCTGTGAACGACTCCATGGTATTCCAGATTTTGTGCCATCAGATATGTGCTTTAAAGTGAAAATGATTATTATTATTGAAACATATATTCAAGCTAGGTATAGGAGGAGATTGTGCATATTTGGCAAAATTTTTTCTGAAAGGTCATGGTTAAATTTACCGGGTTTTCTCGAGTTTTCAAGAAAAATATCTTCTGAAGAATTGTCTAAGATTAAACGCTCAGTTTTTCAAGGGGCAAGTTGAGCTTAGCAAGAAAATGATTTATGAAAACCACTATGTCCCAGAACTAAGAGCAAGGTGGTTTCAGGAAACATGTTGACCTGAGATAATGGCACATGTTCAAGCATCTTACAAAGGCTGCTTATTGTTATAATGTGGGTGTAATTGGACAAGTGCCTGTCATCAGGTGTGGAGATACGTCGCATCTTTGATCAAGTTTTTAAAAAACAGGTTTGAAGGGGATGCTAAATATTTTTTCGAAGCAGCAGAGAGAATTACTTTATTAAAGTCTCTAATTTTATTAGGTTAGCACTGAGGCTTGCATGTATGTTAAGTGAGCATGATCACTTGAGTAACACCTCCGCAGTCAATAATTATTGGGTGGACAGCAAGGTATGCATGAGACAGCATTATGCAAATTGCAGAAATAGAAGAAATAAAGTGTCTGAAATACTTCGTTAACAGTACATTTACAGGCTTCATGCAGAATTTGCTTTCTAGCAGGGTGAATTTATTTTTGCTGATACTTCCGATGGCACCATTTCAGTTCATAAGCACTGGTTTTATGCACTGCACGTGACGATCTTGTTTTCTCAGGTTCATGTACTGATTAAATAGTATAGGATCAAGAAACGCACATGCTTTCTTAAGGCTTATTCTGGCTCATCATAGAGGTAATTGGTGACATTTTAGTGAGTTATGTCAGGGAGGTCTGTGTACATAACATCATAGTTATGACATCAAATAAACAAATAAATAAATAAATAGTAATCTTGCAATGCTGTAGCTTTATATGTGTAACGATTGAAGCTTCTTTTTCTGTTAAACATTTCAGCGAAGCAAACAAGTTCCAACAGCAGAATTGGCCCTTGGGTAAAGCAGGTGGTAAGAGTGCGCTTATTCACAAGCCCTTCAAGAGCACCCACTGAAGGACTTAGTACCTATTGGGCAAACCTTCCAGTGAACCAAGAAGGGCAAGGGAGCACGGTGCAGGTTAACATTTCAGGAGGGTATCTTCCGGACATCATCTTTCTCTAGCCACAAGCTTATATGGCCAAGGTTTAGCAGGTATAAATGTTGCTTCTCTATTGCAAGATGATGCACCATATACCTTTTGAGAGTCTCCTCACCACAAGCCCTTACATTAGCCTAAAAACATTTTTTTCCACGGTGCCCTTTTTTTGTTTCAAACAGTTGTCTCAAGCAACCATATGCACATTGCGACAGTCTAGCTGGTGACCACAGAGTTGGCTCCAGCCATCACCATGTATACTCCCCTCAAAATATAAGACACTGTAAAATCATAGTACGGTGTGCATGCATAGGACCTTGAACATGTAAGCAGTGACTACTTCTCTTGTGTTCTCTGTTCTGGCCCATGCTTGTCACACCTGTTCAAGATTGTGACGGAGAAATTAGTTCTGGCAATGCTGTCTCAGAGGTAAGACTGTGTACACCCACATGGTGGAGCGAGCAGAGGTTCATATCAAATGTAGTAATAAACTGGCAACACCATGGGGATATAAGCACACTTGCCTTATTTATCACATCAATTTATTGAGGCAGATATTGCACAGTTAAGCCTAGCTGTGATCTTTTTCAAGATTGTCTCCATAGTTTTCCCGTTGGTCACAGCACAGGAAGAAAAAATTCTTTGTGGGAGCACCATATATTAAGCTTGCATGACTCCGATGAAGCACTGTACGAACAGTGATATTCAAAATGTCAGTACTTCGTCTCCTAAGAATGATGAACTGGTTGACACATTCAACTGGTGATCCTGCAGGAGTTCTAGCATATACTCTAAGGTCATTTTGCATCAACAATGCCACATACAATAGTTTAACAATGGTTGTTATGAGCAAGAGAGTGCATAGCTTCAGGGAGGTAATTAAGCAACGGGGGAAAATTCTAGATGCCTAAGCACCACAGGAAAAATGAAAAAGCACAAGGAAAGAGCGTCACTCGCAGCCGAACTACAGAAAGTATTTACACTGCAGCACACGTTTGCATCGTCTAGAATTTCCCGTAATAATGTTATACCAACCAGCACAGCAACAAGTAATAAAGTGCAGAGTGACACTTGCATAAGACAAGAAACACAGGACGTGAGCTAACTGCCATCTAACTTTATTTGTGGCTTTGGTAGAAAATATATAAGGAAACAGACACATGTGCAGTGTGACAATGTGCAATGTCACAGTCGTCAAAAAACATCACATAACATTGCCAGCTCGAGAAACGTTCCTGGTTTTCAAAGTTTCAACAGATGTGTCACTAATGAATATGCACTTCTTTTCTAGCTTGAACCGCTTCCAACAGTCCCCATCTATCAGGACTGCTGCCTGTAATCTTTGTCCGGTATTTATTGTGAACTGACATGCCCTAATACTTGCGCAAGAATCAGCCAGACTTGTCTATCTACACTTAACAGCCTGTAAGTCCACGTCTAACAACACCCACTCCACTCTTCCAGTGGTCATAGTCCATACGGGTCATTATATTAATCAGTTAGGTGCCCAACTATTATTTCATTCATTCACTTCGCATTTCTTGAATATAGAGATATGTGAACCCTACAACTGCTTTGCAAAAAACAAATAAAGTACAAGTATAACACTTGCTATGATGGCTTAAATAAAGAAAAATTATTTCACGATGATGGCCCAGAATCTTTCCCTAGAAAACATGTAAAGCCCACATAGTATGTGTCCCAGGAAAATTCTGATTCTGCCAAACTCAAAGGGTGTGCAAATATTCTACAATTTCACATACCAGATTGAATAATGTTCGATTGGATTTAAGTGCTATTATTCACAGAACTAAATATTTTTTAATAGTTTAATATTATTTAAAATGTCAAGTGCACAGAAATAAATACAAAATGTGCAAAAGTGCCATAAATTTTATCCCTGTTGGCAAGTTAGACGCACTAAACATGACAGCTTATCTAGTGCAGCTGGTTGGCTCTAGGAATGTGATTTTGCTATTTATACAATTGTCACTTCCTCTTTCTTAACTTTTCTGTAGATTTTTAGGCTTGATTTTTCCTCCAGATATTGTATTCCTGCTTTTAAAATTGCTAGAAGTCCTTATCATAACTGCAAAGAGAGATACAGTTAGTACTTGATGTACTTGTTTTTACACTGCAATGGAAACAACACATCAACTGGGAAATAGCAATGAAACATTTTGTAATAAAATTTATTTCAAAATCAGTTTGCTGAACGACATGTGTACCAAACAGTAGCCGACAAACATCGGGTGTATTTGCGCCTCTCTCTGCCATGAAGCACTTGCATGAAAGCGGAAAGACACGAGCTCATGCATGCAGGTGCAATCGTTATGTAGTCGTCCCTTGAATATCGCTTGGTAATTGTAAATACTTGGCTGTGCAGGTGCCTGTTAGATTATTCTAGAATGTCCAGACTGACTACAAAATGAGCAATGCTAATAATGTACTTGGCTTGTGCAACAATTTTTTTACCACTCATTCTTTACAAATATTACCTTACGCTGTCGTTGTACAACCAAACAAAAATATGTGCATGCTCTTTAGCATACTGTTATTCACAAAATAAATGCCAGTTCATTAAAACTGGAGATAATTAAACATTCATCTTCCATTTCTCCCATCAAAATGCAGGTGAGTTACTACAACAACCAATCTTGCACTGATGTCACTATGTTTTCATTATGAAATTACTAATTTGCTAGCTTGCTTTTTTTTCACAAGTTATGCATATTATTATACAATACACCACAACTAACTCATTTATCAACTTCATTATTTTATTACTTTGAATCAACCACCATATTGCAAAGTCCTTAAACAAGTCACTTTTAAGACCCCCAAGTTTTCTTGTGCCCTTACAGTGCATCAAAGGCCCTGAAGTGTCAAACAGGCCAAAATGCATTGGTAAGGCTTGTTCATAGGCATT